CTCTTAGGTATATACCTAAGAGAAGTGAAAACAAAACTTGTACATGAAGGTTCATTGCAGTACTATTCTTATTAGCCAAAAAATAGAAACAAAGCAGTTAATTAATAAAAAAAAAATGTGGTATGTATAGCCATACAATGGCATAATATCCACTCCTAAAAAGAAGTAAAGTTCTGACACATGCTAGCTACATGGATGGATCTTAAAAATACAGGCTAAGTGAAAGAAGGAAGACACAAGAGGTCACACCTTATATGACTATTTATATGAACTGTCCAAAGAAATAAAATTCATACAGACAGAAAGTAAACTAATGGTTGTCAGCGCATAAGGGGTGGATGGAGAGAAATTCGGACTGAGTCCTAAGAGATATGGGATTTCTTGTTGAGGTGACAGAAACGTTCTTGTATTAGATAGTGAGGATGTTTATACAATACTGTGAACATACTAAAACCCACTGGGTTGTACATTTTTAAATGATGTAGTATATAACATAAGAAGTATATCCCAATAATAATAATTAAAAAGCTAAAAGGGGCAAGGGGCTGTACACCTTCCCTTTTTACAGCTAGCATTTATAGAATACCTATTAAGTGCAGGGCACATTTCTAAATGTTTTATATCTTTAACTCATTTAATCTTTACAACAACCCAGAGGCATCTTTTAAAGATAAGTTGAGGCATCCAGGGGGTCAGGTACTTTGCCCAAATCCTGCAGCTAGCCAGTGGCAGAGGTGGGCTTATAAGAGCAGTCTGTCTTCAAAGCTCAATGCCCACTAACTCCTAATGAGTAATAATCATTAAAACTGGAGGTATATCCTTCCAGATGATTTTCACTGAGAAAGTGCAAGTGCATATGCGTGTGTGCTTGTATGGAGAGAGAAAAATTACACACACAGGATTGTATAAAGGTCAGAAAACTGCAGTCCACAGGCCATATCAAGCCCCTTGTCTGTTTGTAGACACAGCCCATAAGGTAAGTATCAAAAAATGGGTTTTAGATTTTTAAATGATTGAGAAAAAGGGAATAAAAAAGAGCAGTATTTCATGATACATGAAAAGTATATAGAATTCAAATTTCAGTGCCCATCAGTAAAATTGTATTGGGACACAGCCATCCTCATTTATTTACATTTGCACTGTGGCTGCTTCTGCCCTGCAAAAACAAAGCTGGGCCGTGCTGACAGGCAGACAGTATGGCCCTGCAAAGTGCTGAATGTTCTATCAGGGCCTTCACAGAAAAATTGTACTGACCCTTAGATTTCATCATATATGATACTCTAAAACTTCCTTTCATCAGATTTCCTACAGATGGTTGCAAAATATAAGTGCACCTAAAATCATTAAACCTTTCCCCTACTGATGAAAATGTCATATCCTTTACCAAATTGCTCTCAAAAATGGTTGTATTAATTTCTCTCTTAATGGAACGCACCTGGGTTTTGAGAAGTTTTACGCCTGACTCGCCCGAATGCAGGCTCTTCCCTCTGCTGCCCAGTAGCCACTTGACATTGATGCTGAGTCCTGAACTGAGCCACTCTCTTGGGCTGCATGGTCAGGTCAAGGTTGCACAGATTGGATAGAGGAACCCATCTCTCATTCTTCTAAACTATCTTACCTTCCTAGCTTTTGCCTATTATCCAAAAACTTCAGTTATTTAATAAGTAGCTGGAAAAGTGGAAGAAGGGTTACTATTCTTTTTTGTCCCCCTGTAGTGGATATTGTGAGGGGCCACTGTCCCTTCTCCATTGCGTTGAGACATTTGTTCCCCTCCTGTTGTCAGCTCATGACTTTCCATTGTTTCTCTCTTTGGGAATTGCCTTCAGCTGAATAAAGTCATCCTGCCTAATGTAATGTCCCCCTTTCCATAAGCAAATCTATCCAATCACTAGTCAATGCAGAAATACAAAAGCCCATCCACCTTGACTTAAGGCAGCACAATCAGAGAGAGCCACCTGAGCTCCAGAGCTCCCTGCAGAATCAACGAAGGCTCAGTTAAACTTAATCATAGTGAGACATCTCCCCAATTCTTCTCACATCCCAAAGTTTTTATCCTGAGAACATTACTCCATTAATTGTCTATAATCAAATCTGCATCTTAGAGTCTGTTTCTTCACAAAACTGACCTAAAACACTCCTCTCTAACTCTTCTCAAAGGAAGAGAGATATGATATTTGATATGATGCCTGAGTTAGGAGAGGAAAGTGAACTCACATGGATCAGCCCCTTCCTCTCTCTTTCTAGGCCAGCACCCGTACAGGGGAGTGCATGCTTTAGCTGCTACTGCCAATTGTATGGTAAGCACACCAGGGTCACACTTCAGATAATGTTTCTCAGATTTCTTTTCACAGTAAAGATGCTCTAAATTTTGTGACAAGGAAGATGTCTATGGGAACCTTCTCTGAACTCTAAGATTTTCCCTAGAGATGGATCTCCCAGAATCTAACTTTAGCTCAAGATACTACAAAGTCCTGTTGTAAGAGTAAGCCTAATTAATCTAAGATCTCCAATTTAACCTGATCAATGATTACACAATGATCAATTATTATACTAATAATTTGACCTTTATCTCATTGATTTCATTGTCTTTGTTTTCTCATTTGGGTCAAAACTATGGGACAAGGATGAATTATGATCACCATCCTAAAACCACACTAACAAAGAGTAGCATTGCATACATACAACAGGTATATATCCTCTTGTCATTATTAACTATTCATAGTCTAACTTAACAGTCTAAATGAATAGTAATCTAGTTTACATACATATTCAGGGAGATGCTGCTGTAGCAATTCTTTGGGGAGGAACTGGGTATTTACAATTTAGGCAATTTTCAAGTAGAAAAACTAAGTCTATTTCCTTATCTGTAAATGAATCAAAGAAGACCTATTTCGGAATTAGTTTAAGAATTATGAGCAACAGTATGTATAAAGTACCTCTGGCAATACCTTATAGAGTGGGTACTCAATAACGTAAATTTATAGCTCAGAGAGAACAAAACCACTAATTCCAAAAGGTAGGAGGATGATTTCCATCCCCCCAAAAATTATTTAAAGCTGAAATTCTGAACAATGAGCAAGTGAATCAGGCTTACACCCAAGTTGACAACTACAAATATAACGGAGAATTAGAAACAAAGAGCAACAAGCGATCACATCCATTTTCTATCTTTATGCTACAGAATGGACAGAGGGAATGCTTTGGATTCAATGTTTTTGTCCCCTTAAAATTCATAGGTTAAATCCTAATGCCCAGTGTGATAGTATTAGGAGGTGGGGCCTTTGGTAGGTAATTAGGTCATGAGGGTAGAGCCCTCATGAATGGACTTAGTGCTTTTATAAAAGAGATGCCAGAGAGCTACCTTGTCCCTTATGCACTGTGGGGAAACATTGAGAAGACAGTGTCTGTGAACCAAAAAGTGGATCCTCACCAGGCACTGAAAGTGCCAGAACCTTGATCTTGGACTTCCCAGCTTCCAAACCTGTGAAAACTAAATGTTGTTTAAGCCACCTAGAGTATGGTATTCTGTTATAGCAGCCCAAAGTGACTAAGAAAGGAGAGAACATCCCCTTTGCCTACTAAGGACACTGTTAACTCTGGCCACACAGGTACCATGTGAGGAAGATAGGAAAGAGCTTCCAGAAATTGGCTACCCGTGATGGCAGCCACCAAACTGGAAATCTATTCAGATTTAGCCTCAGGCATCCAACAACTCAAGAGTCATCTTCATTCTGCTAGTATGTAGTTAAGAAAGAAAGGAAGCCTGTGGTAGTTTGCCCCATCACATTCTCCCCTCCTAGAGAGAGAGAACCAAGTCTCCTGGTAGTTTGTTTAGAAAAGCAGTTTGAACCTAGAGACCCATTAGGAAGCTGAAATAGGTGAGGCCAGGCAATGGCCCAAATTGGAAAACTCAGTGCAGAACCAGTAACTAAAGTAAGATTCTTCCACTCACGTCAGAACGAATGCCACTTGATGCTGGGCATTTATTACTCTGGGGGGGGTCCTCTCCTGTGAGCCAACACTCACTTTAAAAATCCTGCACACCACAGAAAAACTAAGAAAAGAGTGAGTTTCTTTAAATTTCTGGAGAGGAAGTTCTAATATGTCACAAAGTTTCCCAGGGAAAGAACCTGGGACGAGAGGTGAAGGTGGGTGACTTTGAAATGTAGACTCTGGGGATATAATCACTGCCCTGATTGGTCTTGTTTAGCTTCTGATGCCTGTGATTTTGTGAATGCAGAACTGCTGATGCTGTTAATATGACTAGTCTGTTCCAAAAGCTAAGTTCAAACATTTAACACCATGACGTTTCCAGAGAGGAGAGAAATGCTCTGTGAATAAATATTTCCCTTATCATTTTTACCAATCTGTTGAATATAAACTTTATAGTAGTTTTATCAAGTCAAAGAGAAGGAGAGAAAGAAAGAGAGAAAAGAGGAGGAGAAGAAAGGGAGGGGAAAAAAAGAGAAGGCAAAGAAAGGGAAGGAGAAGGAAAATGTTTTTTTAAAAAATACACTTCCTCATCTTTTTCAAACAGTAGACCATGGCTACATTCCAGAAAGTAGTTTGTTTTATAAATCTCAATAAAACCTAACAAAAAAGAAGAGAAGGAAAAACTACTGAAACATACTATTTATGATTGCTGTTAGGCATTACATACAGTATAAAGCGCAGAGACGGGAGATTTAAAGAATAGACTCAACACTTGATAAACATAAGGCACCAGAGATTCCAGTCCAAAGGAACTGATCATAGCCTAAGAGATGGTAGAAAAGTTCCGAGACCTTTCCCAGGCTGTTCTCCGTGAACTAGTCATACCAGTTTCTGCAGGAATGCAGGAACTGTTGCAAAAATGGTTAGGTTCTATAAACATATTGACAAAGCTTAACTTTACATTTGAAAGAAAAAATATTTCAAGGTACTTAAAATATCCCCCCGCTTTTAAATATTTCTTAGCTTTTACTTCTCTTTATGGAAAGGAGGAATCCCCCCCAGCTCACCTGTATCAAACCCCACACTTGGCACTATGTCCACAGTCCCGTGGAAGGCTCCGGCCCACGCTGAGGTAGCAGTGGTGACTGTCGTCGGGTCTGTCTTTGTGACGTCACACTGAGGAGCAGGAATCCTGGCTGCACGCACTGACGGCATCAGCAGGGGCCCGTAGGAGGAATCCAGGGCAGACGCGGCAGAAGGGTGAGGGTGGTGGTGGTGGTGGTGGTGTCGGTGATGCATGTGAGCGTGGGGGTGGTGGTGTCGCAGGTACACATCGTGCATGTGGCTGTAGGACGGGCTCACCTGAGATGCCAAAGGGTAGTGCCAGGACTCAGACACGGGAGGGGGAGGGGCTGGGCCAGTCTGGTGCAGGCTGTGTCCTGGCCAGGGACTGGGGTCGGCTGCGGTAAAGGTGCCAGGGGGTGCAGTGACCTGAAAGTCAGGATGAACTCCCCCCAAACAGGGTGCAGGTGGGGGCTGGTAAGAGCTGGTCCAAAAGGAAGTCGGGAAACTATTCCTTTGACTTGAGAGAGCTGTGCTGTCTGAGAAGACAGAAAAATAAATTATTTACATAAGATTCTGTTCTGGGACAGACTTGCCTCTACATGTTCAATATTTTACAGCAGGCTAATCAGTACACACTTCTTCTCCCCACACAGAGGTGAGCTGAGACTAGAGAAGCCTCTGAGCTCCCCTGCCAAGTCCATGCTCAGCGTTCTAGGTGCTGAATGAGTCCCCGCTGCCCTCCCAACCCTAGTTTGTTTGGCTTATGCAGTCGCAATCCAGACTGAGGTGTGCAAGTTGGGATGAAAAGCTTCATTTCCCCCTGAGTGTCTTGCTGTCATCAGGTCTGAGCAAAGGTGATAGGTCTCTACCTCGTAGGTAAAGAAAACTTACGCCATAGATGTGGTCCAGGTAGGTCTGAAATGATGTTTACTAACTTCTTTTGAGTGCAAATAGAACTTTTATTCAAACTAAACATTTTAATGATGAAAGGAACAAATGGAAGTAAGGTTGCATTTAAGTATGCTCACCAACACTCATTTTCCTTCAAAAAGAGTGTATTCTAAGCTTATTCTTTCTTTGGAGGTCTGGGAGTCTCTGGGCTGAGAATAACAGTAGTTAATATTTAATTATAGTGACCAAATGCCCCACACTAGGCCAGGGGCTTTTCATGGATAATCTCAATGGATCCTCACTTCAGCTCTATGAGGCAGTTAATCGCTTTTTTATTGCTACTGTTAGTCCCATTTTATCTGTGTAGAAATCTAGGCAGGGAAGAAGCCCAAGACTTCACAGCTGGCAAGTAAGAGAGATCGAAGACAGGTAGCCTGCCACCTCGATGGCCAGCATTCTTCACAGCTGTGCCACAAGAGGGCACAATTGTAACTCTAACCTCAACATTGGACTTCGGTGAAAGTTCTGTGGAAATCGAGATTCAAGTAGGAGTTTGGGTTTGAGAACATGTTTGGGAAGGATAAATAATATCAAAGAATAGCACTTGGAGATAAATTAGAAAGAGGAATAATCCTCCCCAACTCTGCCTAAATTCAGTTTCTCCACTCAATCTTTTTAACATATTTATAGATGACCTACTCTGTTCCAAACATAAAGAGGTCAAGGATGATCAAACCGATGTCACTTTTAATCACAATCTGATGGGGGACAGATAAGTAAATCGACATGTGCAATGTGGCATAGTAGGTGCTCTTATAAGGGGAAGCACACAGGCAGGTGCAGAAGCCGCCTAAGGGAGTGATAGCCAAATTGAAAGGGAGAGTGAGATTAGCCTTGTGAAGAAGTAGTGAAAGGCTAATGAAAAACTATGTGAAAAAAAGGCCAAAAATTACACACACACACACACACGCACACTTACACACACGCACACTTACACACACAAAGTAGCATTTGAAAGATTAAAAAGAGTTCAGTTGGCAAAAGGTGGCAAAAATTTACAGTAGGGTCCAAGAAGGACACAGGAGGGTATGGCCTTGCCAACCATATACTGAATGTGGGCGCTGTCCTGAGAAGTTCTCAGAGAGCTTTGAAGGGTTGTAATCTAGGGACTGATACAGTCAGATCTCTGTTTAGGAAGAGTGATGCCGCCAGCGATAGCCTGCAGCTGTGGTGTGGTGTGGGAGCACTGGACTGGGGGTCTAGAGGGCTCAGCCAGGGCACTAGGACCCAGCTCTTACTCTATATCATTTTATGACCCCAAGATGGAACAGTTGACTTCTCTGTAGCTAAGTTTCTTCCACTAAAATATGAAGCACTCAAATGAACATTCCAAGTATCTTCTGGCTCCACACTTCTATCCTTCTGTAAAGCGGCCTACAAATTATTTCTATCTAAAGATGAAGATAAGGTTGCTTTAACATGTTAGTCATGCACGTAGAGTAAGATGGTATTTTTATACTGGGTTACACACACACACACACCCCCCCCACCCCCCACCCCACCTCCAACCTTGCTAGATCTTTCAGTTGAATCAAGGATATCCTAAAAAGTACTTTGAAATAAAGGTACTTTTATATTCAGAAGTTTGTATTTTATATTCAGAAGTTTATATTTTTTATATTCAGAAGTTTGACATATTTCATAAATTTCCAAAACAGTTTGTTTGTTTGTTTGTTTGTTTTACCTTCAGGGAAAGCTTGTATAATGTGAATCGACCACCACAAATGTGACTAGACTAGCATACTCAGGACATTGCTGCGGTGTTCAAACACTTCCTCTCTCTAGCTTCCCCAGCAGCCGGGGCACCAGAGCTGCCAGCTTTCCCATTCTCTCCCGGACAACCCGGAGTGGTCATCATTCAACCCATTCATTCTATGGACAGACAGCTCTTCTTGTCTCACATTCAAGTCTCTCCCCCACGGAACCTCCGTGGATCTCAACCCCTTTGGGGAAATCTAGGAAATGATCATCTTCAAAAGGCAAAGGATGGAAGTGGAAATTGTTACTCAGTTCTTCAAAGAGTCCTGGAAAACTTTCCATTGAATGAATTTGTTCTGTCGTAATCCCCATCAGAAAATAGCCCTTAAAATCAAACTTAATGGCACTAGGGCGAATATATTTTAAGAATGGTCTTCCTTTGACATATGAAAAATGGCTGCTAATGACAAGGAAGAAAATTGTATAAGCTGTGAGAAGAAAATTCAATTTGCCTTAAGCGATGACCATTACAGAATATTTCTGTCACACCCACTGTGGAAGCTGTCAGTGTGCAAAGTTCAGAGCCCATGCAAGGAGTTTATAGAGGCTCCTTACATCACTTAGTGCAGCGTTGCCACCATCGATCTACCATTTGGCTCTCACAGATGCAACCTTTGATACCGAACCCTTCATTCTACTCACAACTTTCATTTCCTGGTGGGACCAGAATCCCATTATAAAAGCTGCTGAACCCAAGCCACAGGTGTGTGCCAGAAATACAGAGCTCCCCTTATTGAAATCCACCATTAAAATATCAAAAGTACAGAGAATGTATGTCATTTTTCTGGATGCTTTCCTTTTATTTCTTTTCATTTATATGTACATGGGCCCAATTTTATTTTATAGATGCTTAAGCATTTTGGATATGCATGTACAAATGTGAATAATGAACAAATTCCTAACCAAAAATCTTGTCCTATTTATGAAGTATTGTATTGTGATTAGTGAACACATTATCATTGAAAGTGGAACTCTATTTTTTAAAATGCACTTCATAAAGTCTGAACAAAGCTTTAAAATGCCCCAGGGAAAAGTTAAATTAGAAGCAACTTAGTATTTTCCAAGCTGGTATGTCTCCTGAGATTAATATAGATTTTGCAGAAATCTATACAACCCTTTCAAAAACAATGTTGCATTTTACAAGTAAATGAAATGGTATCGAATAGAAAATATATTTATGGAAAAGTCTAAACTTCAAAACCACTATTTGGTCACTTGATTATTAAGGAAAAAATACTGATACAAAGAAACAGATGATATGCTCTTTTCATGCCTGGGAATCAGTGTACTTATTTCATATGTATGTAAATTTTTTTCATTACATGACTTTTTGCTTAGAGAACTTAATCACAGCCACATTTGTTGGATGAAAAAGCATATGAGAAACTGTGCACGAGCTATTTCCAGGCATTATTATTACTTTTCAGGTTAGTGGAGGCAATTCAGAACTGTATAATGTTAACACTCCGTGGTGACTGAGGGATCAGTGTTGCTTGATAGTTGGATGATGTTAACACCGACACTCTGGCATGTACAGAAAACCTTTACTTTGGTTCAGTTTGCACTTGGGATTAAAAAATGTTATACACACACAACCTATTCCTAAACCACAACAAAAGGACAAAATTGATACGTTGTCCAATACAACCCACCCAAAGCATACCCAGCAATCTCGCTGTCTGATTATACCAGAAATAAACCTTGGAGATTTAGAGGAGTGCTTCTTTCAATTCACAGTAGCTGGGATACTTTTTATATGAACTCTAAATGTCTCTGAAAAAAAATCTAAGGGCCAACAATATAGGCAAGAGAAAAATCCATCGTTTATATATTTTTAATTAAAGTGTATTAATTTTGATTAGAAAACTATATTAAAAGGAAAAATGGGACAATAAAATGATATAGAACCACTATCTTATTTTTTTTTAATTTCCAGAAAATAATCTTTGAATAAATATTGATTTAAAACATCAATGTTAAAAGATAACATTTATTTTTGTATTAATCTCAGTGGGAGAAAATTGCTATTGCATTCTTAACCTAAAGGGTCCACACAATAATTTAATTCCCACTCTCTTGTTCTGCTTCCCATGAAAATAAATTGTTGGGTCATAGGTGAAAGGATATGTGCTCCAAAGTTTTCTGTCACTTAGGAATGAGGCACTACGTTATGTCCAAAGATTGCCCTCTCGTTACTTCTTCGTTCTAGAGTTACTCAGAATGGGCCTTGTGACTCTAAAATGAGAGATTCAAGGGGCACTATCAGATGCCCGCACTCCTTGGAAGCAGGACGATGAGGTACTGCAGACCTCACTTTCTTTCCATGTGCCTGTTCTAAACTTCCCAGAGGCGATGGCCTCAGCAGTGCCCCCTGGAGGACGAGCTCGGCTATCTCCTTCCCAGTCCCTGCCAGCTCTGAAAAGCGGCCCTCCTTCCCTTTCTCCCTTTTGCTGTTTTAGGTTAGTACTCATTTTGAGAGCTCTTTCCTACCAGAATTAGTTTTTCCAAGCACACACCACTAGGTCAATCAAGCAACAATTACTTTGACACTACAATAAGAAAAAAAATATCAGAAAGTTTACGATTCAGCATGGCTTTTAAGTCAGTGATATATTTTGCGAAGGCTCCAACTACTACCCTTTTCTAAACACACACCCCTTTCTTAATAGTACTGGGGCACTGAGATCAATGCATGGACATATTTGGAGCTGATGTTTCTGTTTGGATGGGGATAAGAGGACATTCAGATTCATTAGGTTTTGGGCACTGAGATCAATGCATAGACATATTTGGAGCTGATGTTTCTATTTGGATGGGGATAAGGGAACAATCAGATTCATTAGGTTCTCTTAACTGAGAAGCCCTATTTAATCCCTGTTAGAATACAGTGAAAAAAAAAGAGGGAATTGATGTCAATATTGTGCCAAACAAAGTACAAATATTTCTTGTCAATTGTTTGTCTCACAGCTGCAAAATGCCTAAAGAGGACTTAGCTCGCACCATCAAGATACACAAAGTATGACCATTATTCCATTATTAGCTGACACTCTATTCTTGTCTAAAGATTTACTGTGTAAATACATTCTGCATTCAAACATAATTCAGTTTTAAATTCCTTTGTAGCACTGTAGCACTTGTGCAGCCCTGTAAAAATTTCATGCCATCAATTAGACCTTTTAATTTAATACAGCTGGTCACCAGCTCCTGCGAAAGTCTTTCTGCCATGGCCATTGACACTCTCAGTAGCCCGAAGTCCCTACTATGTCCAACACACTGTGTTTCTGCCAGAAATCCAAACTTCCAAAAAGCAACGTTTCCGTATGAAGACCCAAGGTTGGTGTTCTATGTGCAAAATGAGTGGAAACCCACTTAAGAAAAGGAGAAAAAGCATCTGCCCTTCATTTAGTGCCTCGCAGCAAGCCCTATGCCAAATTCTTCATATATTTAACTTAAAAATCTTTATTATAACCCTAGGAAGTGGGTATCAATAAACATACATTATGTACTTGAAGTTATGCCCAGACAGATTGTTAAGTACTTAATTCCAAATCACGTTGCAATCAGACAGTAATAAGGCCCAAACTTGAACCCAAAACAAACAATCCGAAGGCTGCATTCTCCAAACCTGTAATGCTCTGGCAATTAATACAAAACTCCCCAAAACTCTCTTTGCTAGACATGGGAATCAGAATCGTATCCAAGTTATGTATATTTATCTAAAACTGACTGATTCATAATTAGAAACAACTAAAGCAAAGTTCTATTCACAAATGGAAAGTAAATGATACATTTGAAAACACAGAACTTTACTTAGTTTACAAATATAAAAAACTGTAATCAATGATGTCAAACAACTTATTGCTAATAAATTCTCCATTGAAGACTTTTTTGTATTCTAACCTGGGGTACACGGAAGGCAGTCACTTAATCTGTGGTTTCTCTAAGGCAGTCACTTAATCATTTAATTCATATTTATTCCAGATTTTCCATGTAGAGATGCATTATCCTGAGTATTAGGGAAAATAATTAATGGGAGATCAAGAGATGGAAATTGAAGAGCACACTGTGTTTGCCTGGGCTACTCTGATAAACTAAACTGACATAAAAAATTCTAAAAATTTTTGTTTCTACCCGTCACTCTTCATTTCACTCCACACTTGCCAGCATTTTTACTTCGCATGGAACATTCTGAACTCCATCTTTACTCAGGGACTTTGCACTGGCTATTCCCTCTGCCTCAAATAATCTTCCCCTAATATTCATGTAGGAGCACTCTTTCTTCCTCCAGGTCTATGCCCAAATGTAATGGCCTCAGAGAGACTGCTTCTTATTGCCCTAAGAAAATAGCACCTTGAGTTTCACTATACATTTATTAGCTGTCTATTCCACTAAAAAGGTCCATGAATGTAGAGGCTTAGACTCTCCTGTTCACTGGCGCATTCCCACTACCTAGAACATAGTAAGACCTTAATAAATACGTGCTGGGTAAGTCAATGAGTAAACGAGGAGATAGACTGAAAGGCCAAATTTAAGATAATACCAAGAAAATTGTAATAATAGTTACTAAACCATTACCATTATCTATACTTTCTATATCAAAATTTGACATCTGTCTGAAGGTCTTCTCTGTTCAGTCATACAGATTATTGGAAAAACAGTGAACTGTAGAGTTTTGGTACATGTACAGCACCGCACTTAAAACTATTCTGATGATGATGCTATAGACAAATCACTCTTGCATCTAGCTATAATTTTGGCCTCTTGTTCCTACAACCCAGATTAGAGGATTACTAGCATTACGTACGTCAGCTTTCTAAAAGAAGTAGTATTGTATTTATTACTCTCCTGGCATGGATTATCCTGATAGGATTTATTTTTGATATACCAAAATATTAAAGACAGCTAATTCATTGAAGTTTTCTTATTTTTACCCTCTACAAGTCTTTAAACATATTCACTATGTGCTACCAAATAGGATATCGGTTGATTACACAATATCTTAGGTTTCCAAGGATTAATTTCTCAGTTCTGTGGGAAGTCTATAATATGCACTAATCAAATAAGCAATTATGATTCCCAATTCACCTCTGTCAAGGTCTCAGTCACTTGAGTTTGTATTCTATTGTATTCTACCTTCCCTTTATAGTCATTGCTCATTTTAGTGTTCTTCATATTTACCAAAAGGAGGGAGAGAAGGGAGAGAGGGAGGGAGGGAGGGCGGAAGGAAGGGAGGGCCGGAAGAAGGAAGGGAGGGAAAAGCATCATATTTACAGATCAGGCCCAGCTCTCTTACAATGGAGCAGAACCATTCCTCCGATGCTGAGAGGGGACCGACCACTCATGACCTCTCACCTGCCCCCAACCGCAGGAAGCCTACCACAGGTGACCAGCCTTTCCTCATCTTTGGATTACCTGGGGCACTTGTGAAAGTATAATTCCCAGAGCCTTCCTTTAGGGATGCTGATTGAGTAGATCTGAGTTAGGTGGCCTGCAATCTGTGTTTTTAACAGCGCAAGATAAATGATTATCAAACTTGAGCCTGCATCTGAATCACTGAGAGGGCTGGTTAAAACACAGATAACTCTACCCCTGAGCTTCTGCTTCAGTAGGTCTAAGGTGTGCCCCAAGAATCTGCATTTTTAATAAGCTCCTATGTGATATCAATGTACCTAGTCCTGGAAACCACACTTTGAGATCCATTTTACTAGATGCTTCAAATAACCTGCTAAGTTCAGGGGGGAAAAAAACAAACAAACAAAAGAAAAAACTTCTATAACACATTTTTCTAAAACTATCATTGGAGCCCTGGCTGGTGTGGCTCAGTGGGTTGAGTGTTGGCCTGTGAACTAAAGGGTCACTGGTTCAGTTCCCAGGAGGGCACATGCCTGGGTTGCAGGGCCCAGTGGGGAGCACGCGAGAGGCAGCCACACAACTGTTGTTTCTTTCCCTCTCTTTCTCCCTCCCTTCCCCTCTGTCTAAAAATAAAGAAATTTTTTAAATCTCTTAAAAAAACTATTATTGGAATGATGTATTATTTTTTTCTCTAACCTTGTAAATATCCCATTGAAGATGTCAACCAACAATTTGCAGTGAGCTAGTAATTAGATTCAAACACATCTCTGTGACCTCTATACAGAAGGAAATAAAGAAGAGGATGTCCCATCTACTGTTTTACTTTACCGAGGTAAAAACAGTAGCCTACACCATGTAGATAGAGTCAATAATATCTGGACTGCACACAGCAAAGGGTTAATAGCACAACAAAGCAAGACACAGAAAGTTATTAAGAGAACACAGAGGCTTTCAAAGTTTGTATTCCTGGGTCAGACTCAGATCTCTGCTATGTCACCACGTAGCACCTAGTGGAATGAGCAAGAGCTAATTTTTAAAAGCTGATCCAGACACGCCTCTTATTTAGACATCCAAATTGGGCCATCGGGGCTTAAGGAATGGTGCCTCGCAGCTAGATCCTGCCACTATAAACCCCGGCCAGTTGCATCACTACTTTCCATGAGGAATTTAAGGGGTGTGACTGCATCTTTTCCAACCCTGCATTCCACATGTGACAAAACTGATCCAGCTGTTTGTCTGAAAGAAATTCCTTGCTGTCCTTAAAAATTAAAAAGCAAGTGGATATCCGTCTTCAGGGGCGAGTCTCCAGCTGGAACCTGGTACAGGCGGTTGCAAAACAGAGACAGGGCCTTGGAGAGCATCTGCTTTTAAATTCTTACCTCTCCATAGGGGGGTTAGCCCCATCTTGCTTTTTGAAATGGCAGATTCTGGATGGAGGATGCTGGCTTGGCCCAAAGCTCTTGAGAAGTGTTCATCCACTACTGACCCAATGTCTCCCTGGAAATAAGTGAAAAGGACACAGCGAGAGTTAAGGTACTCCATCTCGGCAGGCTGGTCTTTCTCCTCCTCCTCCTCCTCATCCTCCTCCTCCTCCTCCTCTTGTTTGCTGGGAAGGGTGACTTCCAGAGAGTCCTGCATCTTGCTGTATACCGCTAACTTCTTCTGGGATGGAATAAACAAAACACAGTATCACAGACAGTTTGTAACAGAGCATTAACTAGTTAACATTTCAATTTTTAAAAATCTAAAAATTAACATATATTCTCAAATTGATTCTTCTTCATTTGTTTTACTCCATCTTCCCCCACCCCAAACCACCCTTCCCACCCTTAAAAAAAATCGATTTCAAATTTAAGGGGAAAAACAGTTAAAATCCTTTATTGGATTGTATATTTTCAGAGTATGGAAGTTTTTTGTTAATCTAAGTATACCAAAACAAGGATGACTTAAACAAAAATGTGACAGATTCCTTTTGTTTTTCTTTCCTCTTCCATTTTTTTTTTTAATTTTAAACATTTAATGCAGAACAACATTATAGTGTGGAACAGGGAGAAACGGGGGATAGGGGGCCTAACTGTCTGAGAGCGGGGTGGAGAAGAAGAGGGCTTTTCATAAATGAAATACACTAAGATAAAAACAAAAATGTAACATCTTATAAAAGGATTTGGCAGATGTGCCCAACTCATTTCTCAAAAATCAAACAAAAGTGACAAAGTAAGTCTGTGTGAAAATTCATTTTGCATGGAACATATTTTTCAGATGTTCCATGTACCACCATTATCATAGAGAGAAAAAAAAGGTATTGTTGTGACTTAAAGAAAATAATACAAGATACTAGCAATGGCTAGTATGGGTTTCAATTAAAATGAGAACGTTTTGATGATCTTAAAATATTTTAAAACATATGTATCATTATAGTGATAATAATGGTTCATATATTATATTCTGCCAGACATTTACATATTAATTACCCAACTAAATGCTTACAGTTCTACAATATAATATAGTTATTGTTACTATCCATATTTTAGAGATGAAGAAACTAAAGCACAGAAAAGTGAAATAACTTGCCCAAGCTCACAGAGCATGTAAGTGGTGGAGCCAGAATGTGTAATAAAAACATGCAGGTATATATATGTGTGTGCATGTATGTGACAGAGGAGAGCAGGGGAGAGGTATCTAGTGTGGGAATACAAATTGCCAAAATGTTATATTTTGTATTGTTTTTCATGGCTGGTAAGTTTTTAATTGTTATTTTTTATTTTCCCTTTTTGGTATTTCCCAACATTTTCATTAAACACTTTTGTTATCAATAATTTCAATGTAAAATAGATATAAGAAAGTAATGCTAAAGATATAAAATTCATTATCCTAATGATGAAATTAGCTTTGTATTGTCTGTACACCTGCAAAACCTGATCCTTTGTCAGGTTTTAATTTCCTTTGTCAGATCCTTTAATTTCAGAAAAAAAATGCACACTGGGAAGTGAATGTGAGTTGAAAAAAATAAATCATTCTAGAATACACAGTAAGCACATAACTTTGCAGATGTTATCAAAACACACAATCTAGGCTCTTACGTTTCTAAAGTAATTACTAGGTATGAAATGTATAGCCCCAAATTATAAAAGCATCATTCAGTAAGTTAAACCCTTTCCCCTAGCAATGAATATGTTCTCCTTGTGTGAAATAAGTCCTGAATAGTTCAGGTACGTTATGAACTTCTGGTTATTATTTAGGGGCTGCTATTCATACCTATGTGTAAACAAGTGTATTGATTTTTTATTTGAAATGTGTGTCAATATAATTATCATTTGTTGATAAATATTTAATTCATATCTTGCTGACGTAATTGTAATAACTGAGTGGTGATTGTAATGAGTGAGTAGCTATATTTCTTGTAGTCTGTTTTGCACAGATTTGAACATGTTCACATTTAACTTCAATAGTAAAAACACCACAGTAACATAAGTTATATATAAAATGAGTCGTGTATAAAATGTATAAAAGTTATCTAAATGACCTCTAAAGTTACGCCTAGCTTTAAATTCCATTATAAAATTAAATGAGTGTTACAATTTATTAGTCAAATCACAATACTGATTCTCTGGGCATGTGCATATTCACTTGAAGTCATCATGTTTAGCATATATACACACTCTCCACCGAACACTCTGGCATATTAGGAAAGAAGCACTGTTTTTATATGGGAAGGAAATTAAAACCAATCTACAGAGTAGCTTCACTGTCCACAAGAGTTCATTATTATCTATGAAATTGATTTCATTTTTTCTGTTAATGTCCAGCTCAATATCAGTTCCTGAGAATCAAGTTTTGCAACTATTGTTTCATTTGTTTAATTTTAACATTTATTCTTTAGGTTAAGTCCTGGCTGTGTTAACTATCCAAAGAAAGGCAATGTTTTATTATATCGCAATTAGCAATCAATTGTTAGATTAAATAAAATTACTTAAAGTGTTATATACACAAAAATGTGTACACTGATATAAATGTAGCATAATATTATGATCTATACCAATTATAAAAGATTATAATTTTTAATTGGTGGCAGTAGAGTTTAATCTATAGATTTTCTACCTATTTAAGATTATACTATTTTCTAAATGTGAATTAATTTTTGTTATTCTTTTTCAACCATTGTCGAATGGCTGGTTACAAATAAATTAATCTAAAAGTGGCATACTTTTCAATATAAAATGGGGGAAATTGAGCAAAATCTGCTATTGTATCATAATACCTTTTATTAATCTATTTTTTAAAGATTATTTTTTGTTGATGGTCACATCGATTCCCTATACTCTATATTTCACATATATGTAATATGTCTGTATATGTACATATGCATTTATATAAATACATACTAATATATTATTTCCCTTGTATGCAAACATCTGTGATTCTATAAAAATAACTGTAATGATTCCTTTAAGTAAAAATTTTTAGAATGCTTATAAAATATACTTTTTTTCTCTTGCAACTCTTTAAGACAGGCCTCTAATTAAATAAATTTTCTTGGAGACTATCAAACAAATAAAATGAATAGGGAGCCTATGATACATCTACCAATAGGCAGGAAAAAAGGCATACCTATCATTTATTCCCTTTTGTACTTTTTTCACATAAAGCTGAGTCAGTTTTCACAAATTACAGTGAACCAATTTAAATATTTACATTCACAACACATATGCACACCACACACACACACACACACATTTAAAGCCTCATCATCAACATCAGTGTTCAAAGGGAAAATTCTAAAGTATCCAAATAGCCTGATAGCTAAGTAAAATTTAATTTGTATACGTTTTCCAAACATTGAGTGTGAGCATGAAGAAAACCAACACAGGATTTAAACAGCAATTGAATCATATGCTGACATTGACCACATGCTAATATTCTTCTCCACAGACTCAAGTCTCAGCTACTTTCCATGACCTGTGCTGTAGTGACTGTAAATCAATTCTTTGCCTTTTTAAAACTATGTAACTCATGTGCGCTTTTCAGTATTGCCTTGGTGTTTGCTCCCTGAAATAAAACTTCCTTAGTGTTATCTTCTTTCTTCAGAAAAATATAGAAAATTTCCAATGGTGAGAATAAATCTCAGATCATCAAAACCTAGATATCCTGAATCAACATAGAAAGGCAGCCTAGTTCATATTTCTCTCAAAACATACAATCACTTCCTAAAAAAATTTAAATATCTCAGAAATGTGCTTGCTTTTCTTATGAGACCCTGAAGAATTGTTAACAAAAATAAAGAAGCCATTCAAAGAGACTTCAAAAACTGAAAGTTGGTTTATTTAACACACATGAACCGGCTCATCCCCATCTCAGAGTAATAACAATTGTTATCCAGGTAAAACGACACCCAAGTTAAGTGAAACAATGAATGAGTTAATAGCCACTAAGTTAAAACTGACCCAAGAAGAGGTTAAAGGAGTGGAGTGAAGGAGGAGGCCTAGGCAGTGCAAACCATACCCACCACCTCATCGCCTGCCATCAGGCACAACAGAAACAAACTTGCACAGGAATGTGCAGGGGAAAGGGTTTGTCTGACAAGAGAAAGACTTCCATGTCAGGAGCCAAATACCACTAACTCCCCAAGGCTTAAGCCTACAAAATGCCAAATGATTACTGTGCATATGTGGAAACTTTTTTTCCTAAGGAAACAAAAGTATTTTAATGAATCATTGGATGTTTGAAAACAGATCTTTCCTTCTCTCTCTCTCTCTCCCGTCCCCCTCCTCCCTGCCTCCCTCCCTCCTGGCTATCTTCTCTAAATGCAATAATTTTTTTTTTAATTTTCAAAACATGCTTAAAGTCTATAAGAGTAGCCTATAATACTAGCCAGGAGTAACTGTTTCAATATTGTACAGTCCATGAAAGCAGCACATTGCTCTTTGATCATATTTTTCTGAATTCACTTGAATAACAGATTTTTAAAAATATCTCAGAGACTTGAAATTTTTACTCTTAGCTTATTTGGAAGAGAAAAAATCAGGGTATGGCAGGGTGGGTCAAAATAAGGAAGATATGCCACAAATTTTTAATATACTTTTGATTAACTCTCTCTCAAACATATTTTGTTGGAATAATTATTCCCAACTTACATATGCAAAAACTGACTTATTTTGCTAGGTTCACCTAACTATCACATGGCAGAGATGGAATTAGAACCTATTTCTGCCTGACTACAAAGCATATACCAAGAAAACAGACTGAATGAAATGAGTCTCTATATGATATTTATTCTAATTGAATAGATAAACAGATACCCAGAGTCAGCATGGCATCACATGCTCACTAAGGAGAGTCCAAAGTTATCTACAGCTTTAAAAAATTAGTAAACATACATCAGAAGTATGACAATTAAGAAATGCAAAATATCTGTATATTTAGATGAAACTGGACTTCTATATGTAAAGAGGTATTGCGCCCCTGACAAGTCAGACACATACGACAATTGTTTACCATTTTTCTGGAAATCTTATTTTGGAAGAGTGAGCAGAGCCGGTTTGTGAGGCACAGTCACACCTTGAGATTCTGTTTGTTTCCTTTTTTTCATTTGTTTTGTTCTTAACAGTTGGAAGGAGCAAACCAAAAATAATATTAACATGATCATCTATGTTGTAGCACACTTG